ACGGCGGCTGGAAGTTGGTTTCGCTTGAGAAGGGGGAATCCGTGTTTTTCTACATCTTGGGGACGCAGCAGGTTTAATGACAGAAGAAAACGGCAACAGCGAAAGAAAAGGAAAAAAAAAAACCAAACCACCAAAAAACCCCAGAAAGTCCCCGGAGAGAGGCCGGGCCGTGAACACCGGAGGAAGCGCAATTTATTCCGCTCCGCTCTGCGTGAGCTGTGGTGATACCTCGGCCCCGGGCTGGCACTGCCCCTTGGTCGCTGACACCCCGAAGGGGTGGCTGTCCCCGTCCCCGTCCCCTCGGGCGGGGGCAGCGGCAGCCTGGCGGGGCCTCCTCTGCCTCGGCTGATGACTTACGGGGCTCTTCGCGTAACGAAAATGTGAACGTTAATAAAATGTCCTCCCCCTTCCACTTCCTATCGCCTTTTCCTGGAAGTGAACCGCAGACTCTGCCGCCGGCGCACCCTGCACGGCCTCTGGGTTTGTTTTCCCTCCAGATCGCAATTATTTACACCGAAACCAACGCTTTTTTTTTTTCTTTTTTTTTTTTTTGCAGCAGGACGCATTGTTTTGCTGCATCCAGGCACTGACTCTTCGCTTTCTTCGCAGGTTACTTTTAACCCTTGCGGCAGCAAGGGCTCGTGTCCTCTCCTGAAGCGATGCAGTAACGTGATTAAGGTGCTGTCCTTAGGTTTATTTTCTTTTTTTTTTTTTTTCCTGTTTGGTGGCTGTCGAGAGGTCCCTGGTGGGTGTTCGGGAAGGTCCCTGGTGTTTGGGAAGGTCCCTGGTGTTCGGGAACGTAAGGCACATCGGGGTGGGGAAGATCGACAGCAGCCAGATAAAGACTGAGGCTGGGATGAATTGTACGCCATTTCCTACGTTTTACTGAGAGAACTGAAACGGCAGCCCTGGGTGTCCTGGAGGGTTGCGCCTCATCCATGCCCAGGGTCTGCCCTGCCTCCCGCTCCCAGCAGGAGGAATCCTCCGTCCTCCCAAGGCAGCCTGTGTCAGTGCGGTCATCACTGCTCTTTCCAGCTGTGGGATACCTTTTCCTTTCCGAGCACAGCCCCGCGACCCCCGTCTAAACTTCTGCCTGGTTTTCAGGCCGTTCTTTGGCACAGAATACAGACGATCTCCTGGATGATGCCAAAAAAAAAAACAAACCCAAAAAAAACAGGGTTCCAGGGAGTTCATTTCCATGTGAAGCTTCTGGATTGGAGGTGACCTGAAATGCTCCGGTGGGATGGTTGTTCATGATGAACTTTCCCTCCGTTCTGAGGTCAATACTTGCTCGCTGCTGCTGTCGCTAAGCTCAGCTGAGAATGGTTCTGCTTTGGATTCCTGGAATTGAATTGTCTGGGATTGGCGGCAGGGTTTTGTCAGCAGCGATCTGCCCCTTGACGGATTGCCAGGGCTGAAGCCTGGCTGCCTGCAAGACGCAGCGACAAAGAGGGTGATCAAGTGTTCTGTTTCCAGTCCTGCCTAGGCTCCTGGCAGTTTGGATACTGTTTTGATCGATGCGCCCACTAGATTTATGTTGTGTGATCTGTAGTGTCGCAACGCACTGCAAAGTTTTCTGTATAGATAGCTCGTGCAAAAGCTTTAACGCTATCTGTTGACCCTGCTGTCACACAACATATTCCTTTCGTACTGAGAATCATCTTGCGGTTTCAGCGTAGCAGTCACGAGTAGCAAGGCTATAATAGCCTCATGACACAGGCTTGCGAGACAGAGCTACGACGACCTGCCTAACCAGGATCTCCTCCGTTTGTGCTCTTCCATGGGAGCTGAGCTTAGCAAGGTACCTCTCTTCCCTTGGAGCCGGGAAGCTGAAGATGAAAGGAGTTGGAGGTCAAGTCATGGCGTTGGATTCGAATGCAGAAGACGGGGAGGCTGTTGAGTTTGCTTATCGCCAGCACGAGTGTGTCTCGTGTCTCACTGCGATCAGCCAGTGAAAGTGGAGCGTGTTAGGGCTGGGACTGCACGAGCCTTGGAGCTCCTAGCACGGTAGATTGTAAGCTGCTGGTTTTGCCTTGTACTACTGTCGGAGCATTTCGCTGACGCGGTGAAACCTCTATTCTTCTCAAGCAGTGTGCTAGTCTCCAGATTTCAGAAGAGCTGATGCACCCCCACATTAACTACGTATGGTGGGGATGTGCCTGGCGTGTCAAATGACATGAAAAACATGATGTGAGGCTGCATGCGGGGGCAGCCGGTGTTCCAGCAGGGTCTTCAAGCATGGGATCCCCCCAGCAGGCACGCGTGCTCCTGCTTGCTGCAAGGCACCGCTGCCTCTCCCATGTAACAGATCCGCAGGATGGTCAGCGGGTCTGGGTCGTGGGGTCCCATGCAGGAGAGAGGCTGCTGTGCCGCGCTGGCGGCCTCAGAGCACCAGGCACCGTGGTTGGGAAGCAGCGGGTCAGATGAGAGAGTCTTACACCTGTCTGGTAAAAGGATCCGCAAGCTGCCGTGGATGTCAGGAGCAGCCTGGCCACAGCGGCAGGGACTCCAGTGAGCTCGTGTGCCTTGCTGAGAAACCTTGGTGTGTGCGTAGGGGGTTTTGGACCTCACGGCTATGTCATTCACAAGCCGTACCTCTTCACACCCTTCACGGACACAACCGTGGTGGCAGCATCTGAAGATGAGATCATCCCCTTATTCTTTCCTCTTGTAGACTTCCACAATGGATGAGACCTCAGACGAGCCTCCCACTTCTGCCGTCCTCTTAGACAACTGCCACTTCTCCCAGGTCGTCTTTAACAACGTGGAGAAGTTTTACGTTCCCGGAGGAGACGTAACCTGTTATTATACCCTCACACAGAACATCGCTCCTCGCGGGAAGGACTGGGTGGGCATCTTCCGGGTAAGTGAATACTGTGAAACCAGACGTGCCAAGTGTGAGAAGGCAGCAGCAGGCAGAAGCAAATGGCTTTGGCTTTGACAGGACAGGGTTGGGGAATTTTTTTTCAGTAATAATCTTGTGTAACGGAACATCTTTATTGTGCTTAGGGACAAAGTGCCAGACCTGTTGTGAGCTGAACAACTTCAAGGCTAATCAAACACTCCGATTATCCTTTCATGCATAGACCACAACTCTCAGAAGTCAGGATATCAGTGCAAAAGTCCTCCCAGTAACTGATCTGTGTGGAAATACAGTCCCATTACCATAGGATAAACATGAACTGTGTGACGCCATATAACAATTTTGCTGTTGCAGGTGGGATGGAAAACGACCCGGGAATATTACACATTCATGTGGGCTCCTCTGCCCAGCGACGCCCGCAGTGATACCGCTGTGCAGCAACAGATCCAGTTCAAAGGTGAGCCGGGAGCTTGGGTCGCTCGGGGGATGTACGGGCACGTTGCACACACAGGCACGCACACGCGGACTCCCGCTTTGCGGCCACCAATAAGCACTACGTTCGGAATTACAGAGTATCTGTAGGACCATGCTTTGGGAGACTTATTTCAAATCCCATAATAAATCACAAAATTGTGAACCTGCTAAATTCTGCCGTCCTGACTGAGCGATATTGTTTGCGTTCTTATCACTGGCACAAGGAGTTACTGGTGGTGCAGGAACGATGCTGAGCTAGGATGTCTCAGCTTTCTGAGGTTCTCGCTTTCTGCGCTATGTAGTTAAGAGGCTTGAATAATTAGAAGCTGCGTATGATGGGGTTGTTGTGTTTGTCCGAAGCTTACTACCTACCGAAAGATGATGAATACTACCAGTTCTGCTACGTCGACCAGGATGGCGTGGTGCGGGGAGCCAGTGTGCCTTTCCAGTTCAGAGCAGAGACCGAGGACGATATCCTGGTGGTTACCACACAGGTGTGTGTCCCCTCTTCCCCTGCTTTTTACTGCTTCTGCTTTTATTGGCATGCACTCATTGCTAACATGGAGCGATCTGGTAAATCGGATGCCAAGCTAGAACTCGGCAGACTTGGATTCTATTCTTGGCTTTGCTGCTGACCTGTCACGCAAATCTGGGCAGCCTTTGTTTCTCTACCTGCCATTTATCAGACCAGTTTACTTAGATTGTGAGCTCTTTGTAACGGGGGGCCACTTAATACATAGTGTTTCAGGGCCTTTTGCATATTTTTAAATGCGAATGTCATTTTCAGGGAAACAGTCTCCCATTAGATGGGAGTAAGAGCATGCACGTGGACGATAATTGAGGTGCTGTGAAGCCAAGCACTCTTATTTTGCAGTGTCTTGTGTGCAGCCCTTTTGTTAACGACTACACTGCGCACATGGTCCTAATCTAACAAACTGCAAAAAGCCCCAAACCTCTGCCTCTGCTGACCTCTGTGGACGCAGAAAGCATTGAGCATCTCCGAAGGTCAGGGGTAGCATGTGCTCGGTATTCAAGAATTGGGTTGATGGTCAGCTTTGGACAGGCTGGGGAGAGTGAAGTAGCAGTCTGGTCTGCGCTAGTAGTGAAAGCACGGGGAGGTACACCGTGTTCCCTTTTGCAGAGCTCATCTTTCTTTGCTCTTCGCGCTGTGCGATTTGGAATGTAGCTTTTCAGTGCTTCTGTTATGACCGAACGACTTTGCTGCTTGCCAGGGAGAAGTGGAAGAGATTGAACTACAAAACAGAAATTTGCATAAAGAAAATGAGGAGCTGAAAGCGAGCTGTGCAAGTCTCCAGAAGCAAAACATCGATCTGCAGGAAGAGCTCAACAAGACACAAGTAAACAAAAAAAGTTAATATAATAAGTCAGAAGCTTTAAGTCTGAAAGCTGAAGAGGGACTGAGTCAGGTCTTGTTCCACTGTATGCTTCCAGGAGAAAATTAAAGAGGTTTCTCCCCATATTATCTGTTTAATCCTTTACCAAATCATACACCACCTCTACTGTGATAAGAACAACAACGATGAAGGAGAGGCGTCAGCAGACACAGAAGTCAGGAACATGTGGGAAGGGGAGTGTTCAAAAATGTTTTGTAGGCTGTCCCAAAATCCCATTACCGTTATCTTTTCCTCCTTCGGTTTTGCTCAGGGCTTAACGTAAATTAAACGGGGTCTGAAAGAGTAGTCAGGATGCAAAGGAGAGATTTCCCTCCTTCAGATGGGCTGCCTGGAAATGTTGCATGTGGGGGATCTTTGCAGTACCAGTGCAGAGCAGGACTATTGCTTGGGTCCCGTTTACCTCCTATCGACCTCACTGTGATTTTCAGGAGCTGCAGAACAGTTTAGAGTCTCTAAGGTGCAACACAGAGAAACTGGAGCTGGAGCTGAATTCCCTGAAAAAGGAAAATAAACATCTAAAGGAGCTGGATGACTGCAGGGAGGCAGAGCTGCACCAGTAAGTGTATTTACAGCACATCTCAAAACAGGATTTCATGTAAGCACCTTGCCTTTATGGATGCAATTTCCATCCGTGAAGGTACGGTGTGTTTTGATTTGTTCTGAGTAGACTCAAAGAGCAAATTCAGAATGTGACCTCTGACAAGGAACGCCTGGAAACCAGACTGAAAACAGCCTTGGATCGCATGGACCAGCTGCAGGTAGCAAACATATAGCTGCCCTCTTTTGCTTTGCTTTGCCTCTGACAGAGAACTGAGCAATTTTGAGCCAATACGTGGTGTATGAGTTTCTTTTTTGGTTACCTGGGTTCTTTAGGAAAATGTCAACCTTTGATATGATTTGACCTCCAGGAAACCTCAAGAAATCTGTGTTCTGGAAGGAAGGGTAGAGCGGGATGTGCTAAGAGAAACTGTAAGGATTTCATTCCGTAAAAACATCCCCTTTGCATGCTCATTAAGTTGACCAAAATCAGACTGTTGTTTACCTCCTGCTAGCTGAGGATCCAGGCAGAAAACGCTTCCGTTTTGAAAAACATTCTAAAATTATGTTCAGTACTTGGGTGAAAACAAGACTTCTAGCTGGGAGGTATGTGAAGGCAGAAGGTAGACTGAAAATAGCTTGGTTGTTAGGTCTGGGACGTAGGAGACCCAGAACGATGGGCTAACCATCTGGCTGGAGAGTCTGTTTTTCTCTTTGTTCTCTGACTTCCCAGACTAGAAGTGTCATGTTGAAGCTTAGAAAGCTCCTCAGAGAACGTATGAATGAATACGGTGTTCTGACGAATACGTCAGCTCCCGTACATCCCCATGCAGCTATTCTCAGTTTCTACAAAGGTTTTAACGGGAAAACGTTTGCAGAAAAAAAATGTAAGCAGCCACGGGTTCTGAGCACTGCCAGGGTGCCTGTGCTCCTCACTCGGAGCTCTTCGATTTTCACTTTCTGCGCACCCTGCTTTCTCCCTAGTCTCAAGCGTTGAATTACGAGAAAGAAGTGGAAAACCTGTCTCATATGGACCGTGACAAGACAGAGCAGCTTGAAAGCTTAAAGGAAGAGAATCGCCAGTTACGCCTGACTAGAACTCAACAGGTAAAGCCTTCCCTGAGTATCGCGGTGCTTGGGGGACCCAGGGCGGAGAGGCTGAGGCATCCTTGGCAGTGAGCAGAGACAAATGCTGCTCAATCTTACGAGAATCTAGGGGATTCCATGACAGAAAATGTCCCTGATGGCGTGGGTGTCCACATAGGTGGTTCTGTGAACACACCATCTGACAGATTCTTATAGTATACATATATTCTTATAGTATACACATATGTTTTAGTTTTGGAAGAAAACGTCTGTATAACTAGACATTGCAATTCTGATTCTCTCTAGCAGGAAAATTCAGTCTCTGTCTTGATCGCTTTTGAGTCAGCTCAAGGGATAAAAGTAAATCAGTGGGAATTCAGGATTGATATTTGGCTGATTGCAAATCATTGCATCTAAGCAAAATTGTTTCAGGACTGGGACTTGTGGGTAAATACAAGTTACCCTAAATCTGCCCAGACTACATGGTGTTTATTTTACCTCCAACAGGAAGCTTGACTAGTAATTGGTGTGAGACAGCAACCTTGCTGGTCTTCTGTCTGTTGATGGTTTTGTCTCTTTCTCATCTTTAATATATCAAATTTAGCATTTAATAATCAAGAAAATAGATGCAATAGACTCAGAATGCACCAAAACAAGCTGTAAACAATACAAAGGTCTGTAGTTTGGTGCTCTGCCCCACGTCCTTCTCTGACCCCCCCTTTTGCAACTCCGCTCGTGAAAATCTGGGATTTCGGTGCAGAAGGAGCAAAATAAGAAGCTTGGACGTTGCATGGAATACTTGAAGGGGTCAAAGGCCAAGCGGTCACTTTGTCTGTCCCGCTGTCTGCAGAATGGGCGGGTGCCCAGCATTTCTGGGGGTGCAGCTGGGGAGATGGTCCCAAAAGCGCTGAGCACGGAGCTCTGCCGTATTGTACGGAACCTGCTGGTACCTGTGCAGGGGAGCTGAGGGTCACCGGCAGCATCGTTTTCCACCTTCTTTCGATTTGCAGAACCATCACGATTTCCCTGTGATGTTGCAGATGACTATAACAAATTTAAGGTTATGGACAAAAGGCTTGTTTTTCTTCAGTAACTGCTGCAGACTTTTTAGAAGTAATCCACAAACCTCAGCATTGGAAATCACTCCTTGAAGGAGTGTGAGGGATATAAAAGAAAAGGGCAGCGTGCCGTGGCATTTCTTTCTACTGAAGAAACCATCATTGGCAATGACTGAGGCCATCACATCACCTTTAGCCTGTTGCCCTGAGTGACCTTCTAAAGGTGCTTCTCTCTCTGGATGTGCTACTCGGGAAGCTTTTGGAGGCTCTACTCCGACTTTGGCATTGAAAATTAGATGCCTAAAATAGATGATGGGATTACCTCTGCTGTGATGCCAAATGTTCAGGATTCTTTGAGTGATATTTGAGAACGAGTGCAGAATCCCTAAGTACTCTAGCTTATCTAATTTACTGATTTAATTCGAGTCAGCTACAAGATTTAATTCCTACGGATGTGCTGGCTACCCATTGTCAATGCAAGTCTCACAGCACCGGGAAACCTGGCAGACTTGGATAGCTCTCACCTGCCAGGGTGGATTTTACAGCTGTGAGTCCCTTTTCTTCAACCTCCGTCTTTGTTTGACCTGTCATATGTGCCCTTCAGAGGTCATGTGTCATCTCACATGTTGTAATGAAAATACAGAGCGTGAGTGGTGACGTGGAGATATCCTAGGTGACAAACTATGAAATGGTAAGACTCCCAGTGAAAGCGAAGGTTTGTTTGTTGGTAACAAATGCAGCAGGAGGCAGCTAGTATATGACGGCTTCGGTTCTTGGAGCTGTCATCGTTGTATTTGCCGGTTTCCCACGATTTACCAAGTAACCCTCTTCCTTCATAGCAACAAAACCGCAACTTAATGAAAGAACTTGAGGAGCAGAAGCGTTTGTTTCAGATTCTGCAGGCAAAAAAGAATGAAGCCGATGAGGAAAATCAGGTGAGAACTTGGCACAACTGCCTCGCCTTTCTCCTGTATGGAATATGACACTAGTCTCTCGGTCTAGTGTTCAGTTCCATTAACCCTTCTACCAAACGGATCACTAATTGTGCCTGCACGTGGACCATCACCTAAAGCCAGGCTGCCAGGCTGTCTGCAGGCGCGTACAAATGACCGCGTGCGTACACTCACGGTATGTTGTTGCTGCCAGGACTGTACAGCCTGAGAGGAAGGGTCCAAAATCTTGCGCCTTTTTCCCCCGCCACAGAATAGGCTGCTTTGCCCATAATAGCATGGGGATTTTCAAAAACGCCTAATGTTAGCTTAATTCTGACGCCACTGAAATGAACGGACTTACTCGTTTAAATGGACGTAGCCTTTTTGTCCAGTCTAAGCAATGACTGCTCAGTTTTGTTCCTTACTCTGCATGACTTCAGGATAGTCTTCTGTCTTTTAAAGTGTATTACTCTGTTGTGATCATCTTGTTTGCCTTTCTGAGCAGGCCACAGAATAGATCCTTGCCCTTCCTTACCTCACTTTCCCATTCGGTCAAGCAGGACTAACACTGAGCTACCTAAAAGAAGTTCAGAGCAATTTTGATTCTGCTATAAGAGGATCTGTGTTAGTGCAAAGCATGACTTTTGCCTGAAATGGTCTCCTGAGCTTCTGGAAATTCATTCTGCCCCTCTGTCCCTTTGCAGAAACTAAGGGAAGAGAATGACAGACTCCTGAGGCATCTCTCGCAGGAGGTTTCTTCCTTCTCTGTTGTTTCACAAGCTCAAGCTCCAATTCCAGCTCCTGAAGTAGGAGGCCTTCTGTTTGGAAATCCATATTGTGGTGAGATTACTTGGCATTCTGTCTTAAACCGCAAATACATGGCAGTTAGAGTCTCAGCAAATTATCCTCCCTCTCGAATCGAATGCTGTAGAAAAGACGTTATTAGCAGCACCCCTGTGCAGCTTTGCATGCGTGCAGATGACTTGGCAGCTGCAAAATGCTGCCAGGTGTTAAGAGTTGACTTAAGCGATCAGCTGTCTGTTCATCTTCTGCCAAGAGAGACAACTAGTAGCTAGTTTATTCAGCTGTGAGACAGCTAGTTCTGTGGCTTATGTCCAGTTTCCATAGTCCTAAATATAGAGGTTTAGATCCAGAGCCACGTCCTCATGTTTCAAGAATTACTAGTTATCAGCACATGACGTTGTTAATGATTTTGCTGTGGCTAAATTGACTTCTTCTTTTTCCAGCTGCAGGAGCAAACCTGGGGGCAGGAGCTGCAGACATAGTAAGTAAAGCGGACACGGCTGGACATGAATTAGTGGTTTATGGACACGAATTAGTGGTTTGAAATAAAAAGCTCCAAGTTCAGCTCTGTAGCCAATTGTCTACTTACTGGTTTAGTCCTGGTAAGGTAGCGGACAACAAAATGGAGCCACATATGCTTAACGCGTAGAATTAATAAGAATTGTATGTCTTAAGGAAGAGAAAGGATACTCTGTGGACCTTAATCTTTAAGGACCAGCTCTTGGCAGCATCTAATGTCAGAATGAGCAGCATGCAGCTGCTAACTAACTACCTTATTTCATATTGGAGACATGGACATGTGCTATGTAGGATGGAAAGTTAGAGTACCTCTCAGAAGCTCTTGGCTTTTGAGTGCTATTTAGAGAAGCCTGGAGACATTTGAAAACTTGAGAGTGTTAGAAGTCAGGAAGACTTGTCCAAAAGTGATAGTATCTGGCTACTAAACTTCTCTGTTTCTTCTCTTTGAATATAATTTTAAAGCTGACTTTATCCGCAATTACTTTGTACTTCAGGCTTCGATAAGGAAATGCCCCATATGCGATGAAGTATTTCCTGAAGATATTGAAACAAGTCAGTATGAAGTCCATGTGCAGAGCCATCTTCTGGAGTGCCCACTCTGCAGTGAGACCTTTGAAGAGTCCAATAAGCAGGTGTTTGATGACCATGTTTTTTGTCATCGCCTGGAATAATCCTGAATTCCTATCTGCTCTGTAGACTACGTGGCAGAGGCCGCAGCATAGAATAGACCAAAATTCACTGTATAGGCTTAATTCATGCTAAGATCACCCAGACAAGACTGACTATGCCACTAGGACGGTAATTCTGAGCTTTCTATTCCATGCAGCATATGACCAACGCATAAATCAGGTCAGACATCCACATCCTGAAACTGCGTCACCGTCATCAAACTTGAGTCCTCTGCCTTGGATCAAGTATATATGCTTGTCAAAAGAGTTACAAATCCTGTAATTCGTAATTTAGTTGAATGTGGTGCCAGTTCTTTAGAACAGCATTGGCCACGTAACTGTTCATTCAGATAGGGATCCAAGTGATGGGATGTAGTACGGCAGTTTTCTGTACTTGGCTGATACATCTCTATTATAATGCTTTTATTCTTTAATATAGCACTGTGATTGCTAACCAAAGACCAGAAACGTTTTATAATCTTTTAGGATCACGCCTTCAGTCCTGCTCAGCTTCTGGAATGCAGAATTAATAAGGAAAAAAGTCTAAATAAAAATACATCTCTTCTTTCACCGTCAGTCGTAAAGCAAGTGAAAGAGGCGCATTTATAAAGAGACCGAATACCTGTTTGCAGAGCTGAAGGTCTAGGGCCATCCTTCCAACAAAGCAGGCAGCACGGCTTATTCTAGGGTGAGGCACATGCACTGTTTTCTCCATCCATCTCGCGATGAGGAAAACCTGAGATTTCCGAAACGGGGAAGGTCGGTATGGCGTGGAGCCCCTAGAAAAGCAGTAGCTGAGTTGCCTTGGCAGCACAGAGGGTAAACGGTCTCTCAGTCAGAAACTGGGCATCCTCATTTAAAGGAACTTAGGAATGTGGATTACTTCTCTTTCATGTTTCTAAACCTTCTTGATTTAACAAGAAGAGCCTGTTCTTAAACCAAACCATTGTGACTCAAAACTAAGTGCCTTGGGATATTACAATGCTTTGTGCACAGATTATCCAGTTGCTATTTCTGTTTCTGCTTCAGGATTTTCAATTTATGATTAACGGATCTTTTTTTCCATGCAAACACAAATGGGGAAAGGTTTATTATCCAGCTGTATTAGACTGTGTTTCCTGCTGAATATCTGAAGCAATAGAAAGCCCGGAGAAGTTTACATAGAGTTTTAAGAATATTTAGAGTAACAGAGACTTCAAAATGTTTGACTGTTTTGATTCTACACAAACGTTTTATCAATCTAGGTTCAAACAGATATGTACTATATGGGTAAGCGTTATTTAAAAAACCTGTAAAAGAAAATAACAGCAAATAAAAATAAAAGCTATATGGAGAAAATCTTTGGAAAAGATGTCTGTTCGTTCTTAAAGAAATAAATTGGAGGAACTGATGGGGTCTTAAAGGAGCTGTTTGCAGGCTTTCAATTGCTTTCTGAAGCTTCTGTCTAACAAAGTACTTAAGCACATCTCTGAATAACTTTTAGCATGCAACATGGTATCCCCATGGGTAGCGGGGCTGTTTCTGTTTAACAGAAAGGGCATATTTAACTGGTTGATCCCCGGTGGCTCCTCACAGCATGGGAATATATCATGAAGGCCAAAGGACGGTATGGGATAACGAGAATGAATCAGGAAAGTAAAACGAGCTGTATGGGATCTATTTGTTTGTATCCGTTCCCGGCAGTACTGATCTAAAAGCCTAGAGCTGGCTGAATTTCTCCTGTGTCGTAGGAACGTCCAGTGTATCAACACTTTTTTTCCTAGGCTAGGAGAAAAAGCTGAAAACCTCCTCGCTTGGGATGATAAAATGTTATTTTAAAAACACTTGGTACTGTACATGTTTTGACATTATTGATTACTGTAGTATATCTCAACGTTCCTGGCATAGCTTTATCCCAATTTTGACAATCCAACATTCCATCAAAATGAGGCTCGTTTTTAACTGAACACTTGCTTCCTCAGGAAAAGTCCAATTGTTTTTCAAGAAAATGCTTTCCCCCGCCCCAACCTTTTCCCGTACGTCCTCATTCTAAATTACATTTTTCTTCTTTTACTGCTTTGCATCTTGACAGAAGCAGATGAAACGCGGAGAGACACAAAAGCAACTTTTACTAAAACCCTGGTAGTTCACCCAAATGCCGGTTATCAGACCTCTTTCCTTTCTACACTGTTGCTAGTACTGGCTTTACTGGCTCATATCCTAAACCCAAACCCGGTCACCTGGGGTTGGGGTTGTGTCACGATGCTATCTATGTTCTCACGCTACCGGTGCCAAGTGTCGGTGGCCCCGAATTGCCTCTCCATCCCTTTTACGCTGGTACCTATCATTTTCCACTTGCTTGCTCCTATCATTTCTACAAATCTCGGAGTCTATTTTGAGGTGCCGACCCTGGGACACAGGCAGCAAGCGGGTGACCGGCAGAGGGGGTCAGACTGCAATAAATCTCGTGAGGATGCTGGCTTTTTGAAGTATTTTAAGGTACGTCATTTTTTTTTCTGTAATAATGACAGAGATTCTGACTCACAGCCATATACTTCAGCCTGATGCAGGTCATACCTTCCCTATCCTGGGCAGCCAGGGACCAATTTACCCCTAAGCACAAATTACATCATATATTTTCTGACCAAGTTTTCATTTTGCGTGTAATTTACAGCATTATTTATGTTACTGCTGCATTTAGCCATTGGAATCATAAGACGTTTCAATCCTATCTCAATTTTATGGTTTAATACAGAAGTAGTTCCAATGGCTGATAATTAGATATAGTTATACTTCGGATGAGATCCAATAGTGCATTGATATGTATTGGATAAGGACCTTGAAATAAATTTTCAAAAGGGACAGTAGGGGTTTGGCACAATTTATACCCGAACTCGTGTAGCATCTGAATGGACATTCATTAGAAATGTATCTAAAAGGAAGAAGTCATACTTTGCGGGCCAAACCTCTGTGAATGTATATCTTTTTAAACCTTTACAGGGCTTATCAGTTCGGCCCAGCTTAGGAACTGGCCGTTTGCTTTCCGTGAGCGATCACCGGTCCGATGCAGCGTAGCATTTTCTGTCCCCTCGTCCAGGCAAACCCGCTCAGCCTCAGAGAGCTCTCCTCCCTTTGCCTGGTCCTTTTGCTTCTCCCTTATTTTTGTCAGACCCTTTGCCTTCCTTTTCCAAGAAGCTGGTTCTTCCTTTGGGCTTTCTCTCCCATTCACACAGTGTCCATTTTGAATATATCTGTCCCTGTCCATGGCACATCATTTTCCAATTAACAGGTATGTTTACTGTATGTGTAAAATGCAAACCAGATGATAACATCTCTCAGCTGCAAAGACACGCTGCTAACTATGGTCACTGACTGATGTCAGTTCGTTTCACAGGAAAGACCATTGTTTTGCTTGGGAAAAGTTACCGTCGGTGCACAAAAAAGAGACTGGCCACAAGGGAGACGTTTCCAGATTCCAGATTCCCAAACTATTTCAGCCCTGAAAGTCAGAGTATCTGGAAGGCTGCTGAAATAACAGACTGGTGGCTCCGCTTCTTTCAGAAAGCGAGTCCCAGTCGTACAGCCACAGTCCCCTTCCTCACTTGAACAGCCTCTTTCCTCCACCTGTTCTCCTCCTAGTTCCTCTCCATCTATCCACGAACAGCCTCTTTCCTCCACCTGTTCTCCTAGTTCCTCTCCATCTATCCATGTCTTCTTTCCTCTTCCCGCAGAACAATTTGGACCTTCAGCATTGTCAGTCTCCTCCAAAATCACAGTGCTGAGGTTCGGGGTGTGGACGAGGGGGAGGCAGAGGCACGGAGCGTGGGTCCATCTGGCAGTGCTGCCCCTCCCTGCCTTTCACCCTGCAGAACGCAGTCTGGGAGCGCTGCTGCTGCTGCTTCTCTTCGTGTCACGGTGCTGCTGCTGCTGCTTCTCTTCATGTCACCTTAATGAGGCTCCCGTGGAGAGCGGAGGAAGCTGAAAGGAAATAAAAAGATTCCTGACAAAAGGAACGTGAATAGACAAGATGCAGGTGAACAAAGGAGGAAAAGGAAAGCCGTGTACAAGCCAGCAATTGAGTGGTTATACTCAGTAATCAACTTGTCACTTTGATTTTAAGACGCAGCAGAAGAGATCGATAATTCTTTACAGCAGCATAATGCACCTCTAGGGTTTAAAGTGTTTTGATCATCGAAGTCCTTATTTCAGGGATCGGTCCTGTGCTTACTTAGTAAGTGGAGGTGCTTCTGTGTACGGCATGTCAATGACGGGAAGGGGAAGAGAGCAGAGAAGGGAATGGTGGAAAAAAATGCTCTGAAATGACACTTCGACAGACTGCCACCCTGGATTAGGGGGGGCAGCTCAGAAAAATCGGGGGAAGTAAATGCTCACAGGCCCTTGTGAGACTGAAAAATGAAGATATTACGCTTATGCAGCGGGTTTTTTTGCCGCTCATATTATTTTGTAAGGACACGTTGTTTATCTTTGTTCTGCTGCGGAGATCCAGACTGACCTATTCCTGCTTGCACAGGAGTCAATGAGTCCCTTTATCTCTAGTGCACTAGTACAAATAGAGAGTGCTTAGCGGGTATATAACGGCACGAAATCCAAACGCTGCCATTTATCACCCTCTTTGTACTGAATTAAATCACTAGGCGAAATGCACCGAAGAATCGAACCTTTATTGTTTTGTCGGTGAAAGGATTGGGTCCCAGAATTACATCAGTTGTTTTCTCTAAACAGCTATTAGCCTCCTCCATTATACTAACAGAACTGGTTTCCATCCTCTGGCTCATTTATTCCAAACCAGCATTATTGAAGTGAATGGGGTCTAGGCCCTGGATATTAGAAGAGCTGTTGGTCTACTCATAAATAACAAGTTGTCAAGGATTTTAATGGAAACCCTTAGAGTGCTGTAAATCTGTGCAGTTCTGCCTGCACCCCCTCCCTCATTTCCATCACAATATCACTCCGGTGGGACTGCAGCTTGCAGCATGTGCCAGGCAGCCTCTAGGAGGGGAACAAAAAAAATAAAAAATAAAAAGCTGGAGATGGGGTGGGGGATTCAGAACAG